CCCCCGATCAGCCCTTCTCTTGTGCGTGACAGGGGGGTGGCGCCGAAACCTCCCCATCGACCCTCCCTTGAGTGTGACAGGGGGCGATGCCCCAACCCCCCAATCGGCCCTACCCTGAGCGTGACTAGGGGTGGCATCTCAACCTCCCGATCCGCCCTGCTCTGTGCATGACAGGGGACGGGGCCCCAACTCCCCAATCGGCCCTGTTCTGAGCCTGAACAGGGCCTGCACTTAGGGGTTGGGCCTGCCCTCTCCCACCCGGAAGCAGGCCTAAGCCAGCAAGTCTTTATTTCCCGAGGGGTCCCAGACTGCGAGAGGGCACAGGCCGGGCTGGGGGCCCCCCCTCCCCCCCCCCCCCCAGTGCACAAATTTTTGTGCACCGGGCCTCTAGTATGAATATAAATTCTTTGGTTGATCTTTTCCCACCCACCCCCACCTTCCCTCTGAGATTCAATAATCTGTTCCATGTTTCTATGTCTCTGGATCTATTTTGTTCATCAGTTTATTTTATTCATTAGATTCCACATATGAGTGAAATCATGTGATACTTGTCTTTCTGTGACTGGTTTACCTACTTAACATAATACTCTCCAGTCCCTCCATACCATCTCAAAAGGTAAGAGATCCTTCTTTTTTATTGCTGCATAATATTCCGTGGTATAAATGTACCATAGCTTTTTTTATCCACTCACCCACTAAACGGGCACTTGGGCTGTTTCCAGACCTTAGCTACAGAAAGAATGTATCTCTACTTTTTAAATTTCTTCATGAGTTACTTGACTTTCACAGTATGCCACAGTTTAATAAATTTGTAGTACTGAGCTATAAAGAAATATAGATTTCTCTGAGGGAGATAACTAAAAACAGAAATGAAAATGAGAAATATGAAAGGTTCCTCAGAAAAGCACAACAAAATTTAGAAATCAGCAAAAGGGCCCTCAAGTGTGTTAAAATTAACATTCAATAAAAACATCATCTGTCCTACAATACACAAAAGGGGGGGGGGGGTGTCTAAAACAACAGATTTTAAGTCTAGCCGAGAGAGAGAGAGAGAGAGAGAGAGAGAGAGAGAGAGAGAGAGAGAGAGAGAGAGAGCTTATTTTTTTTCAAACATAATTTCTATAAGGAACTGTATCCATTAAAAAAAATCAAGATTTTAATTAAAAGTATGTGGACTGTTCTGCATTAAGAAAAAACAATGCTTAATTCCATCCACAAAATAGAAAAACTTTTTCAATAAAAAATAATTCATAAATTATATCCACTGCTATAAAAATATTTGAGTGGTAAACACTATTCAATTTTATATAATAATATGAAGTACCAAATACCTTAAAACACTTTCCCAATCCAGTTTTCAATAAAAAATTTTTCAAAAATCTCTGCACTTACCCCCATTATCTGTTCTTTTTAAAGCTCCATCCTTATGAGGACACAGTTCACATCTCTATTTAAAAAAAAAGAAAGAAAAGAAACAAAGATATTTTTCAGATTACAAAAGTATAACATCTTCCTTGTAACTTCAAAACTATTAAAAAGGTAGGAGCAACATTTGTACTGGTTGCCACCAAGAATGACATTTCAGAAAATTCCTCACAAGGTAATTCTCCTTGATATGAGATCTTCTTCAGAGCACCAGATAACTTTTACAAAGTAAATTATTGCTTAACTTTTAAATTCCTGCCAAGATTTTTTTTGTGTTAAATTAATAAACACAAAAAGATCCTCTCAACATAGGACTGGGGCACATTTGCTTCTAGCTCTTTACTTTCTACCGACGATCAGCTAGGCTTAGTCTACTCAGTTAGGTCTGGTTTGTTCTAAAATAAAGAGCCAAACTCAAAAATTTAGAATTGTGATTTAGGTGGCAAGGCATGGTCTCACATATGCTGACCTGCCTTCTGAAAGGAAGTGCTCTAATTATTCTAGTTACTCTTATTCACACACAATGGTAATCGGAAGTTATCATGAATCCCACTGCCTACCACTCCCCAATTTAAAACCAGAAATAAACAGAGCCACTACTAATATTTCTTTTCACTATTGACAAAAGGACAAATATAATTATAAAATTAATAAACAGAGTAAGTTCTTTTCTTAAGATTTTTTAATCGATTTTTATAGAGAGAGAGAGGAATGGAGAGGGAGAAAGAGAAATATCAACGGGAAAGCAAAACATCAATAGGCATGCCCCCCTACCGGGGATCAAGCCCAAAATCCAGGCATGCACCCTGTCAGGGAATCTAATGGCAACCTTTGAGTGCACGGGACTACTAAGCACAACCAACTAAGCCACACCAGCCAGAGTAAGTTTAATGGCATTGTCTTACTATAAAGAATATGTTCCTGGAGGTCACACTTGAGTACCCCATCATGCTCCCCAACTTGCAGCATATAATATAGTAACATAAATAAATTACAAAGAAAAATAACAGGATATTAAGTATACAAAACATAAGCCATGAGATGCTATTATTTCTTGTCATCCAGTATTTCACTTTCCTGATGTTCCTCTTACCATTTTGGCAGTACTTCTCTGATCATCTTATCCAACCTTTAAATGCACAAGTTCCTTAGCACTCTGACTTAAGATGCCTTCTCATTTCATGTTAAACACTCGGCAATTTCATTCATTTTCCATACATCTATCACTAATTAAATTATTAGGATATGCCAGTGACTCACAAATTTTACCTATTCATTTGTCCTTGGATACATAGGTAAAACTTTCTATAATACATAGGAACTTTAAATTCAGTCCCAAATTTATGACTACACTTACTCTTCTTGCAGTTTTCCCTATCTTTGTAATAATACTCTTAATCACATATTGCCCATATCTAGGCATCATCTTTTGACAGCTTTACCCTATTTCCTAAATTCATATGATTTTAAAATGTTTTTATTGATTTGATAGAGGAAGGTAGAAGGAGAGAGAGAAACATCAATATGAGAGAGAAACATCAACAGGCTCCCTCCTGCACACCACCTACTGGGGATCAAGCTCGCACCAGGAATCGAACCGGTGACCTTTTGGTGCATGGAACGACACTCAACCAACTGAAGCCACAAGGCTAGGGCTAACCTCATATTTAATCAATCACCACAATTTGGACATTCTTCCTCCTAAATACTGGTGAGATTTGACTACTTCTCTCCTTCTACACTAGTATTAGCCAACTGCAAGCCAACATCAACTTTCATCAGGACCACTTCAGTGGTCTTCTACTAAATAGTCTCCCAGTACCCGACCACTCCAGTCTACAGAATGAACTTCAAAAATGCAAGTCAATATATATAACTTCACCACTAACACCCTTTAAATGGTTTCCCTACATGATCTACTCCTTACTTTCCTCTATGGCCTTCTCTCTTTTCATCTCATTGTCCGGGCAATACTGACTTTTCTTCTTTCAGTTCAGTAAATACTCCAAAGTTCATTCCTGTCTCATAGCCTTTAAATGTGTTGCTTTTACTCTACCTGAAATACTGTCCTCACCCCAAACCACTTTCACAGTTGGGTAACTTCTTACTTCCCTCAGGTCCTTGCTTAAAGTCACTTCCTCAGAAAAGGTTTCTCTCAATACCTTTATTAAATTAGGTGCCATTTCTTCTTATCATATATTGCAATCACAATTAATTGTTAATTATTTATGCAATTATGTTTATCTCCTCTGCTAGATTGTAAGTTTCATTTCATGGCTGTAGCCCTAGCATCTATCACAACTGGATATATGGAAGGAGCAAAAACATAAGCAGACTAGCTAAAGACAGGCAATAATTTGGTTCTAAGTTATACCTTCTTCACAGATGGAAACATTATTAGTTATACAATTTACCTTGGAGGAAAAAACAGTTACTTATAGAAGTATAACTAAATCTAATATAAACACTACAGCCAGTGATAGATTACTTTTTAGGATGGTTAGGTATAAGAACAATGTTCAACAATTGGGGAAGAAAAAATTCAAATTAGACCCTTGAAATTTTACTGATCACAAATATAAATTCAAAATGTTTGAAAAACAATTTCAATATAAGAATTAAAACCAAAAATAATTAGTAGTCAAATCTAAAAAATTGAAAACTTCTATAAAAGAAAAACATTAGAATAGACAATTCAAAACTTTTATTTCTCTCTCCTCTTGTGGCCCAAGATGCTGAAAGGAAAGAAGGCTAAGGGAAAGAAGGTGGTACCAGCCCCTGCTGTTGTGAAGAAGCAGGAGGCCAAGAAAGTGGTATATCCCATTTGAGAAAAGGCCCAAGAATTTTGGCTTTGGACAGGACATCCAGCCCTTAAGGGACTCACCCACTTTGTCAACGGCCCCTCTAACATTCAGTTGCAGCAGCAAAGGACTATTCTCTATTAAGTATCTGAAAGTGCCTCCTGCCATTAACCAGTTCACTCAGGCCTTAGACCACCAAACAGCTACTCAACTGCTTAAACTGGCCCACAAGTACAGACCAGAGACAAAGCAAGAGAAGACGCAGAAATTGTTGGCCTGGGCTGAGAAAAAAGCTGCCAGCAAAGGGGATGTCCGCAAAAGGCCACCTGTCCTTCCGGCAGGGGTTAACACTGCAACCACCTTGGTGGAAAAGAAGGCCCAGCTGGTAGTGACTGCACATGATATGGATCCCATCAAGCTGGTTCGTCTTCCTGCTTGCACTGTGCATTAAAATGGGGGTTCCCTACTGTACTATCAAGAGGACGGCCAGGGTGGGGCATCTAGTCCACAGGAAGACCTGTACCACCAGGTTAACTCAGAAGACAACAGATATCAGGCTAAGCTGGCAGAAGCTATCAGGGCCAATTGGAATGACAGATATGATGAGATCCACCGCCAGTCGGGAGGCAATGTACCAGAACCAAAGTCGGTGACTCACACTGCCAAGCTAGAAAAGGCAAAGGCATTTTTGCCCACTACATTAGTAAAGCTTTTCCTCATGTTCAGAGTGCAGTGAACATTTATTTTCATATACTATTGATGGCACCATAATCCAATTCTTTTGGAGAGCAATTTAGCAATATGATTCAAGAAAATTACTGATTCCATTACTTCACAGAGAGCCAAAGGAAATATGATGGATATAGCATGTATTGAGTACTGTGTAATTATTATACCATTTATATACTATAAGTTCAAGACATGAAAAGAATGTGTATAAAAATATTTAATATGGTTGTTTATAAGTACAAAAATTTTATAAAGAGTCTTAATTGTATAACAGTGAGGGAACAAATGCTATATTTACAAAGATTTTAACTGAGTTAACAAATAAATGCATAGAAAAAAACTCTAAAAGAAAATACACAAAATATATTAACAGGCTTGTGATGAGAATAGTAAGATACGAGTGAATTTATTTCTTCATTTCAAAATACTTTATTTGTTTTAAAATTTAAATTCTTATAGACACATTATATGCTAAGTAAAATAATGACTTTGTCTTCCCACTAAAAGTAAAAATAAACAGGAGACTTGAGAGAAAACATGATTACAGAAAAAAAGAAAACAAGATTAAATTTATAGTTAGAAGACTGTCCCATAAGATCAGAAAGAAAGGATCTGGTATGAGGCATCTTGGACAACAAGGACTTCAGATCCTATAGTAAACCAATCCAAACTGAAAAGTTTCACAGGGCAGGCTGCAGCTACACGTGTTTGTACTAGAATTCCACAGATCCAATCTTATTTTAGTGAGATATTGTTACAAGTAAATCCTGCGAAAGGGGAAACATTATAAGGAGATCTGCTCCTCCAAAAAAATATATTAAAGATCTCACCACAATTTACCAAGAAAAAATACCCTTTAATTGTAATGGCCCAAACAAGAAGAAATTATACAAGGAGGTTGCTTCTTTTTTGTATCATGTAGTATAGTAAGAAAGCATACAACTATTTTCCATCTTTATAATGTAAGGCAACATTACTTGCTCTACTTTATATTAGATTAGAGGCCTGATACACGAAATTCGAAGCAGCAGCCCCAGCTGCCGCATTGGCCCTCACAGCCCCAGCTTCGTCCAGAAAATCGTCTGGAATGTCGTCCAATCTAATTAGCGTATTACACTTTTATTATAGATTCTCTTGCAAAGTACTCACTGTACTTCACTAAGTCAAGCTCACCCAAAACACTGAGCTTTAGGAGGTCATGACTATGTAACTATGCATTCAGCTATACTCCTTTACCCAAACTGTGATCACCATTACATTACAAAAAGCAGTAAGATAATAATTAAAAATAGTATTACAGGTTAATAAGAAGTATAAATTCAAGTTTTAAGTTTGATCTTCCTCATATAAAAGATATAATTGTGGCATAAAATGTGGCTCAGTTGGTTGAGTGTCATCCCCTGCACAGAAAGGTCACCAGTTCAATTCCTGGTGAGGACACATGCCTAGGTTGTGGCTCAATCCTGGTAGGGGGCATGCAGGAGGCAGTCAA